GGGGGTAGATTGTGAATTTTAAATTAAAATGCTTGTCTGAAATGGTACCACTCAGATAAGCTAAAACTGGGTGAGGGTTCAAATTTAACCGATAAAAATAACTGTAAAAAGCTTAAAGCTTCTAGAACAAGGGTAGGCAACCTAGGCTCTTTTATGACTCGTGAACTTCAACTCCCAGAATTCCTGAGCCAGCCACGCTATCTCAGGAATTCTGGGAGTTGAAGTCCACGAGTCATAAAAGAGCCAAGGTTGCCTACCCCTGTTCTAATTTAAGACAAACATTATGCATTCCAGATGCTTTGGACTACAATTCCCATGCTTCCTCATTCTGCACAAGGCTCATGAGAATCAAAATCCAAAATCAAACCGAGTACAGGTAGTCCTTGACTTACAACCACAATGGAGCCCATAATTTCTGTTGCTAAGTGAGACATCTGTCAAATGAGTTCTGCCTGATTTTACGACCTTCCTTGCCATAGTTGTTAAGTGAATCACGGCAGCTGATAAGTTAGTAAACCGGCTATTAAATGAATCTGGCTTCCCCATTGACTCTGCTTGTCAGAAGGTTGCAAAAAGTGATCACATGACCACCCTGGGACACTGCAACCGTTGTAAATATGAACCAGTTGCCCGACATCTGAATTTTGATCACATGACCATGGAGATGCTGCAAAGGTCATAAGTGAAAAATGGTCATAAGTCACTTTTTCCAGTGCCGTTGTAACTCTGAATGGTCACTAAATGAACCATTGTAAGTCGAAGGCTGCCTGTACCCTCTTCTTGTCTCTCTCTCTCCCCTTTGAAAGAGAGAGACAGCAGAGTTGCCGACACATCCTCTCTCTCCATACTGTATGTGATTAAATGAATTTATGAATTTAATTTATAGTTATCAGTGGTGAATAGCTAATAACTAAGAGTTAATAGTTACCAATAACCTTTTTCTCTGAAAAATGATGCAAAACTTCAAATCAAAAATACTTGTAAAGAACCAAGCCAAAGTCAAGCAATGGAAAAGCTTGTAGAGCAACATCTTCAAATCCACTCCAGCTGGATCACTTATTTTCTATATTTATCCCATTCCAGGTTATCTAAAAGGTGGTCCAGTAGCTTCAAGAGGCACCTACTTGGTAGTTTCCAGAGTGGGCTTCTAAGAAAAAAAAGTGTATGGCAGGAGTCCCCAACCCCTGGGCTGTGGCCCACTACTGGGCAACGGCCCATTCAAAACCGGGCTGCGCAAGTGGTGGGGCGCTGCACACATGTGCACGCACAGCTTGACTTGCGCAAGAGGCCCGGTTCTCCTCCCCCCGCCAAGCCGTAAAGGTTGGGGACTGCTGGTGTATGGTACCATTTGGTAATTTCCAAAATATGCCCCCAACAAAAAAAAATTGGGATGGGGACTTAAGGGGCAAAATGGGTAGTTTTGCAGATTTTTAAGGCATCCATTTCACCTTTTAAAGCTTCTTAAAAATTCTTTCCCAAATGGGTCCTGGCTCCACCCACTTTGAGGATACAGCCCCAGGCATGGCTTGCAAAGCCTGGCATTGTTACTTCCTGGAGTTCCTATCCCAGTCTTGAAGACAGATGCTTTGCTTATTCATAAATGCATTACTTAGCAGCTGATTGAGAACTCAAAACAGGAGGGAAATAACTCTCTGGATCACATTTGAGTTGTTGAGTTGTTCCTGATTTGATTGGAGCGGGCAGCTATTAGTTTGGGGAATGCTGACATTTGAAAGTGCACAATGCAATACAGACATTCTTGGTAGGAGTAATAGATTAGGATGAGATTTTTTCTTCTTCTGTCCATCCTAGAAATAAAATTATGTTCTCAGGCTGGAGAATTCTTTATGTAGAATCAAAAACCATCAGAACAATACTGCAGCAACCTTCTAGAAAACTGCAGTTCTCTTCAGCTTCCAGTAGCTTCCTCTTTCAAATTCACAAGGAGAAAAAAAATGGCTCTTCTAACCTCTGAACCAGAGGTGTGTGTGTGTGTGTGTGTGTGTGTGTGTGTGTGTGTGTGTGTGGTGTGCATGCAGATTAGTATCTACCATCTGGTGTATCTCTAAATGTCTTCTGAGAGATAACAAGGAACCTACAAGTCCCAATTTTATAGAAGCAGAAACTCTGAAGATTTAAACATGTTTTAAAGATCTCAACTGTGTTCAGCTTTGTGTTCAGGTTCACCAAGAAATCCTAGAGCCACCATTTGTCATTTTCAAGTCATGTACTGTATATGCCTGGAGTCATGGTGCTTTCTAGCATCCAATGATTTTGTCTTGCAAATATATAGACAACCAATACATCCATACTGTAGAAGTTTAGATAATCATTTTAGCATCCTAAAATGATCTGAACTAGAGGTACAGACATAGCACAAGTGAGGATGAGGTCAAAGCCAAAGTTCTAGTCATTCTAAATGGCATTTTTTGCCAATACAGCAAATGAGTTTCAGAGGTTTAACTCACTTAAATCACTGAATTCTAGCTTCTGGTTTGATCAAAGTTAATGGCCACAAACATTTTCTAAATCAAGTTCAAACCACATAAATACCAGTATACTTATAAGAGACTATGCCATGTAGCATGACCTTAGAATTGTTTTTGTTCTGTGAGATAGAGATTAAGAAAACATTCTTCAAAAACACCTTAAAATCTGAATTGCTGGCAGTTTGCATGATTTATGAGCCAAAATATAGTCATAAAATCATCCCAAGTCCAAACACTGCCAAGCCTTTTGTGGGCAGGAATAAGCAAAAGGCAATGAGCTTAAGGCCATTGATTTAACAGGGCTTCTGCTTCACTCAGTAGAAGTTGTATTGGTAGTCTAAACATATTGAACTTAATCCAGCTGGCCAAAGTTATCTGAAGCACAAAGTTTACTTATTCTAATACAAGTCAGCCTCAAAATAGTTAAGACCCTTGAGCCTTACACTGGAAATTCATGTGGCTTTTTTCAGTTCTGATGCAATGTTTGCTAACTGTATTTTTCCACTGGGATTCATTCCAAAATTAAGGGTTTTTTTAAAAAAAAAAAACACTGTTAAAATTAGCCTGAAGTAACAAAGATTCCTTGCACTACCATTGCACCTAAAGGACATTAGATAATTGAACGTGAAAAATAAGTCAGAAGTGACCTACACATCTTCCATTCAAAGGACAGAGCAGAGTTAAGAGCCGCTGAGGGGGGAAAACCCTAATGGGTGTTAGAAAATGCTTAAGTAAAACCTACTATGGCTTTTCAAAATCGAAATGCCACTTTATACAGAGCAACCTACATTTATTTATTCAGAAATATGTTGAAAGGACTTGAGTAGTATTCAATCAGATCAAAGCCCTATACTGTACAGCTGGTTAATCTGCCTCTGCAGTGATCAGCCAGATCACTATTAGTTATCCACAAACTGGATCAGAATGGCAGTATTCACTCATGCCTGTAATTTATGCCTTCTATATGCCGTTCACTTCCATTTCAGGCTTACAAACACTGATATAACAACATCCGAAGTAACCAATAATTACATCCAAATCAAGAATTTGTTAAAAACAACAAAAAGTCATCAAAGCCAGGGTAGAAGAAATGCTTTAAGGCTATACACTAGCAATAGCAATAACACTTTGTAGTGCTTTATAGCCCTCTCTAAGCAATTTAGAGAGTCAGCGTATTGCCCCCAATAATCTGGGTCCTCATTTTACCAACCTCAGAAGGATAGAAGGCTGAGTCAACCTTGAGCTGGTCAGAATCGAACTCCTGGCAGTGAGTGGTAAATTAGCCTGCAATACCGCATTCTAACCACTGTGCCACCACAGCTCTTAAACTAAAGTATGTTACTGAATTATAACAAGGAACACTTACTCGATGTCAAATTTATTCTAAGTTCTAGGAGGCAATGTAAAAAATAGCACACTTAGAGGTTCATGTTAAACATATCAGTGGCAGGCCAGCAATGAAGTTGCTTTAGTTCAGGGAGTGATATGATGCCATGAGTGCATCCTGGGCCAGGTGCAATCTCAGAGTCATCTTCAAGGGCCACCCTCTCCAGGATTAACACCAAATTATTACCCAAAGGTGATAAAAAAACCTTCTTCCCAATGATCTAAAACAGTAATGGCGAACCTTTTAGAGACTGAGTGGCCAAAAACTGCCCCCTTCCCCCACCTCCCGCCCTGCCTGCTCTGCGCCCGCCCACCCCCGCCCCGCCCGTTCGCAGGGCCATGCACCTCCTCCATGGCCCGCCGATCACCCAGGCAGCCCTGCAGTGCCATGGCAGCCACGCCCTCCGGCCACACCCTGCAGCATCATCTGCACACTATGGGGTGTGAGAGTGGAGTCTTGTCCCTGCTGCCCAGCTATGTCCTTGGCTGCGCTGCTCCATGCTGGCCGTGCCCGGAAGTGAATCTCCTCCAGGGGGGCTGCTGGTGAGGAGGGGACCATGGTGGGAGGAGGGGCTGAGGCAACAGTGCGTGCCCACAGAGAGTGCTCCGAGTGCCGCCTCTGGCACGCATGCCATAGGTTCGCCACCACTAATCTAAAACACATCAGAGATCCAACAGGACATCTAATTCTTAATGGGAACTGCAATAACTCCACATACATCCAGATTAAATCCATCTCCCATATTCTGAATGAACCTAATAGTGGGTATTGAGAAAGATGTAGCCATAATGTTTAATACCACTTATATCTTATAAGAAGAAAGTCTGATCCTTCATGAATTTATCTGCTGAATTACTCAACAGATCTTTTTCTTTGAACTGTTTATACATTTACTTGTAAATAAATCACTCCAAGAGCCCTCCAAACCCAAAAATACACTAGATTCTGTGCTTTCTAACTGCTCTTGCCAAGGAAGCGTTACAAATAGCTTTGTAAATTTTAAAATATTGAGAACTAATTCATCAGCCTTCTAAAAAAAACCTACTATCTAATCCCAGCTGAATCCATTAGCAATTTGCAGTTAGCTAGCTGCAATACCATTTTTTGTATGGCAATAAATTTACCTGATAGGATAGGCCATCCTTGCGGGGGCTTAAACCAATCTCATCCATAGTTGGAGCACTCATCACCTCAGTCATGTCAGCTGATCTCAGATAATCAGGGCTGGAAACAAAGACAGAGAGACACCTTCAGCAATTACTCTTTTATTCAGCCACAATTAATAGTAAACAAGCAAAGACGACTTAGGACTTCATATTAATAAGGAATTCTAATACAGATTAAGATACTTAACCATTTCAATGCATATATCCAGTCTTAAGTCAGAGTCACCTTGATATTTTGGAAAAAGTACTTCAATCTATTTTGGAACAGACTGAAAAACACTGTCCTACAGATTCTGTGAAGGCTTCAGAATTAAGAATTATAAACCAAAGGCATGACTCTTGCTTTGCATTTTTATTGACTGAGCCACTAAAGGTTTCAGATTGATTCATTCTATAGCCCTGGTTTTAGTTTCAGCCTTACAGTGTTTCCAATATAATTTATTTTGAAAGTAAAAGTAGATTTTCATGCATGCAACTTCTGTATGTTAGCATGTAATTCCACCTCAATTTCCCAGCACAATAATTGTTAAAAGTTTCTTGCACCCACTTAAGTTTTAATAGAGATAAAAACAATGCCATAAAGAAATAGCATTGCAAGTTTCACTGGCTGTTCTACACTGAAAGGCATCTTTTAGAATACTTACTCCAGATAATATCACACAAGAATGTGAATATAAAGAATGTGCACCCATCAATCATCAGTGGCCAAACTATAATGGGTAGAAGGTTTTATTGTAACAGTCAGACATGAGACTGGTCTTTATTCCTTGCCTATTCTTACAGTACCTGCTGCTTTTCTAAATTAATACTTTAAGTGCTACAAATACTGAACTGTCCAGCATTAGCTTTGTTTAGCTTAAAAATAATAAGCCAGATCATCCCAAGGAATCACTTCCACAAATAACGATTGTTATCATTACAGCATATTATAATTCCATGATACATATCATACTTTTAAGTTATAACAAGACATTTCTGCTGCTGGTAGGAGCTGACACTTTTATATTTTGATTGGACAGACTAAAAAAAGTAATAAAACATTATTGGAGACATCCAGAGTTGTTTGAAAGATGGGCGGCCATATAAATATTTTAAAGAAAGAAAACAACAATGCATGTTCCTGCTGCATACACACACACACACACACACACACAAAGGGAAGCAACATCTAGAAGAGTCAGCCTAGTTTTGCATATACCAAGTTACACAGACTGAAACAACAGTTGATTTCTTTCTTCCCCAATTTCTTTCCTTTCCACTCTTTGTCCCTTGGTCTTAATATCTTAGGGATCAAGACTTTCATCTTGTCCTTAGAATACATACACATCTTACTTCAGCCCCACCTACCTAATGGGCTGCCACAACTCTCTTCACAGCAAGTTCAGAGAAAACTATCACCATCACTTGAGCTCTACAGAGTTGGTGAAGAGGCAACAAGTTGGTCAGCATTATTTATGAGAATGATTTAGAGCTATCAGTAACACTGTGGGGTAGTCTTAGAGTGTCTTTGTTTGCAAGAAAATGGGGAAATAACTGTGATAGGGATTAGGGAACCATCCAAGTTGCAGTGTCTGGCAACAGAACTATAGGTAAAGCAACAAAGAAAATCCACCAAGATAAAATACATCAGTTGCCAGAGATCTCAGCATTTCATTTCAGAGGAAAGATCACTTTCCTGACACTGTTTCTGCACTAGCTCTTTCAGAAGAGATGCAACGCACATTTTAATCGTGTCATACTTGCCACTTGTACTCAAGACTACTGGATTCTGGTAAAACTGCTAAGAATTTACTGTCTGCCAAAAGGTATTTATTATTCTAATGGCATTTGTCAAGAGAAGCGGTAATATACAGGCTACTGATGAGAAAGAGACAATGAGAATATATGCACACCAGGGCTTAATATCTGAGGGAGGGGGGGGAAGCTATTTTTCCCCTTGTGCTCTCTGCCAAAAGGCAAAAATACTTTTAAGCATCCTTACTTACATCAAGCCAGCCTTTCTTGAAAACATTCCAGGAAGGCAGTTATACAACTTTGCCGCAGCTCACTCCTCTTCTAACAACAAAGAAATCGGGCTGCACTCAGTTCTAAAGTGTGAGCCTAACCCACTGAATGCACCTGCCATAAAATGCACATTTGGAGCTCCCCTGTTTTTGTGCAAGACCAAATTTTCAAACTGGGGGGATAAATCCGACGGAACCAGGAGTTTCTGAACTTCTATCCAGAGCCCCTGGCTCTCTATTATGGCTTACTGTACAGTGTTCACCCACATTCCGGATTATGGATCGGGGCTTCCGAGTTAATTGAAACACCCAGAAGGCAAATGACAAAACCTTAAATCCATTTTTTTCTCCCCACTGTCCCCCCCTCCCTAAAATCAAGGTTACTACTTCCCAACCGGAAGAATAGTTTGGTCTAGTCACCAGGCTAGAAAGCAGGAGATTTGTGAGTTCAAGTGCAGCCTTAGCCATGAAAGCCAGCTGGGTGACTTTGAGCCAGTCACTCTTCCTCAGTCCAGCCCACCTCACAGGGTTGTTGGGAGGAATATAGGAAGAGGAAGGTTTGTTGGGATAGGTTTGCCGCCTCGAGTTATTTGTAAAAGTAATAGAGGCAGAATACAAATAAACAAAAAGCAACAATTGTAGCGGCACCCAACGTCTGCAGCCTCCTGCCTTTGTTGATCGTCTTGAAAGAAGCAGCTGTTTAGCAGCAAACTTCCAACAGCGACTGAGTTTTCTCCAGCTCGACGTAGCCTCTTCCCCACCATCTGTGGGGTGAGGGGACAGGAGAGAAACCCCGATAAGGAAACGTGGGGGGGGGGGGAAGAGGAATCTTCATTGCTATCTGCGGAATTCTTCTAACAGGCCGGTTCTTTTGTCCGGATTCTAATAACCCTGATGCCTCCCCCACTTCCACTCTCCAAAGACTGATGGGATAGTGCTCCATAGATATTTTTTTAAAAAAAAAAACCCTAGGGAGCTGGAACAGTTGCAATTAGGAATACCGAAAAAAACCCAAAACAGCTGCTGGGTCGTGTTTTTTTTTGTTTTTTTTTCTTCTTCACAGAAACCAAGCCAGTAGCTGTTTTGTTTTCTCTCCATGGAGCTCCAGCTGGAAGACATTAACACTTGCTGACAAAATCCCCCCCCCCGGGGACATCGCAAGCAGCCAGCCTCGATCCAGACACCCCCCCCCCATCGCTTTTCTCGAGAGGAGAGCCGCCGCCTCGCCCCGCAAACGAGTCCTCTCCACAAGCCTCCTCTGGCAGGAAAGCCCAGATCCGCCTGAACTGGGCTTCTCTCGGCGCGGGTGAAGCGGAGGACAACCGAGGGATGAAAAGCAGCGCCTTCGGAAGTAACCTCTCCTTCTCCTCCCGGCAACAGGACGTGCCGCGACTGCTAAAGCAGGTTCCCCGGAACGCCACCCGCCGTTTCCGGGTAGACTCGGGGGCTCCCGAGAG